TATTTTATGATTGTTCATTTTGTTGCACATATTTTTCCACTCTGTTTATCCAGTATCTTCTAATGTGATCCCGTTTAGAGAATTTTTAGTGGTAGCCAGGCACCATACAGTTCTTCTGGTCTTGGGGTTGTGGAGATGGATGCTTTCAAGATCCATCCATTGGACGAATTGTTTTTTTTTGTGTCTTTCCATTTTCAACACTATTTTCCCTCCAAATAGGGAAAGACCAATAATTGCACCTTAGATTGCTGCTCACAAGCTTTTAAGGCCGCGATGGCTGTTTACCTAAGTAGGGTGTAGCACAATTTCTTTATGAACTCCATTATTGTCAATTGATAGAGACTGTGGTCCTGAGGGCAGAGTCTGAGTGGCTCATTCCCTCAAGCTATTTGATTATGTCGAAGAAGTTTTCACAAATTTGCTTTAGGATGCTCCACCACAGTCATTATACATTTGCAGTAAAGGCAAATACTACTAAACTAAAAATTATACTCACTGCCACTGAATTGACTTCAACTCATAATGACCCTGTAGGACAGGGTAGAATTTCCCCTGTGAGTTGCTGAGACAGTAACTTCCTACAGAAGTAGAAAGCCTGGTCATTCTCCCTTGGAGTAGCAGATGGTTTCAAACTGCTGACCTTGTGGTTAGCAGCCCAATGCATAGCCCACTACCCCACCAAGGCTTAACTGGTAAATACACATATAAGGTAAATAAATATACACAAGTATCCTCTATCAGTGGGTCAATAATGAGATAGAGTCAATAATATTTTCTGTATGATGGTGGGCCTTCCTGTGTACAAACATTATTGGTTTATTCATCCCTACAAATTGGAAAATGTGTTTTAGTGTGCACCTTTTAGAGCAGGGCTGGGGAGCCATTTTTCTGCCAAGGGCCATTTAGATATTTATAACATGCTCACAGGCCACACCCATCAAGCATTTAATTCACTCACTCTCAATGTGATGGCTGAAATTGCTCTTTCGTGAAGTGTGTGATGTTGGCTGGTAGTGATGGTCTCATGGACTTGTTTGGCCCTCGAGACAGGTGTTCCCCACCCCTAGGTTGGAGTAATGAGGCTGAGGGCACAAGGACACTAAATGAAGATAATTAGGTAATCAGTCGTGGGTCCAAAGAGTAATAAGTTCTTTTTCATAAGGTATATTTCATAGAGAAAAGTAAAGGGGGAACAATGCCAGTATTATGAGCATCTATTCTAGATGGTTTCTTTTTTGTCATTACATTTTGTACATTTATTTTTAACTCACATCTCTGACTGATGTCACCTTCTCTCTTACCAGCTGAACCAGAGAACCCTGATGCAAACATAACACTGTTGTCCAAACATTTTATTGTTCCAAAGGTTGGAAGCCGTTCTATTTTCTAACAGCTTGAGTGGGTATCAGAGCATGGAGTCCGTTTATATGGTGGGTAACTAAGTCCCAGGGAAACCATTGAGGTTCACATTGCAGAAGAGTTACAGCTGCTGATGAAGTGCTGAACCTTGCTAGCTCACCTTGTAGGCTGGGAAGAGAAAAAAAAGGTCAGAATGTAAAACTTTTGATTTTCCCATTTTCTAAGAGAAATTTATCATTGAAATTATTGTAGAGTAGTCCAAGAAAGGTCATTATTTGAGGTATATGGCAACTGTGGGTAGCTACTCTGAACAAAACTGATTGATTATTGATTTCTAGGCTCTCAAAGATCTGACCTCAAATATGCACCCCCCCTGGTAAGGCAAGTTAAATCCTATCATTAATCATAGTGTATTGAAATATGTTCTCATCAGATTATAAGCATCACTAATATCATACTTAACAAAATTAGCTGCTCAAAAATAACTACAAAAATTCCAAGTTTAAGAATTAAAATAGATTTATTGAAGTAGAAATTTGAATCACCTGCTTTGGCTTAACAACTATATAGTTTTGAAATAATTTTGCAAATAGTAAATAATGCTCACAGATTTTAATAGTATTTAAATTTTTTTATTTAACACTCTTATGGAATCTAAATTCCCAGTGATTTTTTTACATAGTTACATTAAGGTAATACATTAATATTTTTGTCTCTTATTCCCAATCATTATTTCTAGAACTTTTATGTTATTTAAAATCACCATGAATTGAAACACATTTATACTAAGCTATTTTGGTCACTATAAGTTGAAAAATATGAAAAAAAATCTATTTTCAAATAATTTGTATCTCATAAATGCTTCTAGCTTATTGTGCATAGCAATCTTTCTTGATTCCAAAGGCAATTTGGAATATCTAGAGCACTAGATCCAATTATGAAAATCTGTTTCCACTGTATAGACAGGTAAAAGTGAGTTCATAGCGATATTTAGCAAGCAAAGTGCAAAACAAAAAACTTTGTGTTTACGTGCTTTTATTTATTTATTCTAATTTTAGAATGAAAACTCTACTGATATTGGGAACTATACTAATTTTAGTCTTCACTGAATTTTTTTTCCCTTACATCTTCAGAGGCAAAGATATCTCTTGGGGTAAGTAGCAAATAAAATAGTATATTTTGATTTTACAAACTTATTTTCACATTTACCAAAACTTAAAGCACAGTTAGTGCTGAGTCTATAAAAATCCTTCTCCCTTGTTAGTTTCCAAGAAAAAAATAGTTTTGAGTTTGGAAGAATTAATATACAATTCTTTATGGAAAAGAATTGAATTTCTATCATTAAATAAGAAAAAATTTCCTGTCTACCTGCCCAGGTATCTGCAAAACAGTTTGGTGGTGATTAATCACTCATTACTTTATAATCAAAACCTTTTTCATTAAATAACTTCTGTGATACACTTTCTGGAATTGACGTATTATAATGTCAAATTAGAGTAAGAAACCTTTAAGACGCAGTGGTTAAAATAATCAGAAGCCAGACTGTTTTTCTTTTTCTTTTGCTAAAACAAATTCCCAAACACGGAGAACAAGTTTTATTCAAGCAGAGTATATTCTCTAGCTTTCTAAAAAAGTTTAGACCTTGCTTAGCAGGCTCATATTTCTCAAAAGATCATTACCAGCCCATCTGCTGCAACTTCCTGGAGATTCCACTCCTGGCAGCCTCTGGTTTTAGAATGTAATGGCCCCTCTTCAATCTGTCTTCCAGGGAATTACCAAACTCTTCTTAATCCACTCTGGTTAAATTCTCACCACGCTGTGCCTCCTCCTGCTGGGAGCCACATTTTTTGCAGGTTCCCTCAATATGAGGCCTTTATGACCACATTCAAGAGCTGCAATAAAGTCCTTTGAAGAAGAGCAAGCAGCTCAGACAAGGCTCCAGTGCCGCCCCATGTCTACAGGCAGCTGGATGGCAGTTACAAAGCTGAGCTCTGAAATCACATAAAACACGGTTCAAAACATATTTCTTCTATTACTAGCTCAGGCACTTCGGACATGTTATTTAATCTTTTAAAGCACCCATTTTCACATGTGCATAATAGAGAAAACTGGAAACTCACCCATTATAGTTATCATTTGTGAGCATTAAATGCGATACTCCATGTAAAGTTTTAATTGTGGTCTAGTTATATAGTGCTGCTATCACAGGAATAGCACAAGTGAATGGTTTTAACAAGCATAAATGTATTTCCTCACAGTTTTGTAAGCTAGAAATCCAAATTCAACTCCTTGTCTCCTTTCAATAGCTGTGGGTTCAAGTTCCTTGGCAATGTCCACATGTCTAGGCAATAATCTTCCCTTGGGTCTAGGACAAGGGTTGGCAAACTTTTGAGATGGAAGAGCCAATCCTGTCCCTCACAACAATTTAACAATTATTTGAGAGCCATAAGCATATTTTTACAAACAAACAAAATCACCATTATTTGAATAATATCTTTAAAGTTGTTTTTTTTTTAATTTTACTTCAGAGTCCCATGCATGTACCGAAATTGCCCAAGATGACTGGAGAGCCACAGTTTTCTGACCCTTAGTCTAGGAGAGTCTCAGTGCAGGGACCTGGGTTCCAAACTCCTTGCTCTTCCTTCCTCTCTGATCACCTCTTCTATCTTTCCCTCTTATAAGACAAACAAAGGTGTGACTTGAATCAGGGTGTGACAAAGTAAGGCTGTGATTCAGGACATACCTTATACTGTTCCTGCCTCAATAACAATTTGATTCCAATGCAGAGACCTCATAGGACAGGGCAGAACTGCCTCTGTGACTATAACTCTTTACAAGAGTAGAAAGCCTACCTTTCTCCCATAGAGCAGACAATGGTTTGGGACTTTTAATCTTGAAACAATGATCTATGCCATCAAGGCTTCTCATGAACAGATCGAAGCTAGATTTTACAGCCTATCTCAACATGTAGAATTTACAACTCAAAATGTGGATAATCACACCGTGCTGGCAATTAAGGCCTACTCAAGTTGACATATATATTTAGGGAAGACACAATCAATCCATGATAGTGCACTGTTTCCTAGCCAATACTAGAAATACAGAAAAAGGATGACATGTTCAGATTTCAAGTTTCTCAGATAAAAGTAATTCCGTCAGCTCCCACAGCAAATCAATCACTTCAGGGTTTGACACATCACAGATGTTGAGCCAATGCTTTGTAAGTCAATTCATCGGTCCTTAAAACCCCACAACCTGATAATTATATGTAGCTAGTAGGGAGTAAGTTGTTAGGCTTGACAGTTGAATAAAATACAAAACAAAATATCTATTTGCCACATTTAAAGATTTTAGAAATCAAGTTGAGCCTAGTACAATGAGCTCTCTTACACATCAGGAAACACAAGCTCACAGAAGTCTCATAGGTCCTCAAGAAGATATAATTCTAGTGTCCTATTTCCCACCTCTTTACATAACAACCAAATATACAATACCTCATATTTGACACTTGCTCATAAGCAGTCAAGAAACAAACAATCAGTCCTGGCTATTCATTTTGTTTCACAAATCAGTTAATAAATTATAGAAATGCTTCCATATTAAAAGAAAGGGCTTAACAAACCCTTTGTCCTCAGTGAAGCATGAGCAATACCTCACTCAGTGGAAGTTCCAGTACAGGGTCCCAGGAGACATCAAAGAATGGAGAGGGAGATATTTTAGCAAGTAAAAAATTCTATATTTTAAACTAATTTGGAGGGGGGAAAAGGGGTTTCATTTTTTGTACTTATAAAATATGTGTGATCATCATGGTGCTAAGAAAAAAAATCCCTTCTCAAGAACACTGTATAGCCTGTTCATTATGATAAGCCATACGTATTCAGCACCACACAGATTGTGGTGCTTGTGAAAAGGCAAGATTTATGTGCAATTATCTTCATGGAAAATGTTACAACAAGTTAGAGTTGTTAAAAGAAAATACGATGCAAATGAACAACTAGAAGTCAAAGCATTGGCTGTAGATTGGGGAATTTGGGGAAGCCAGCCTAATGAGTGAATTTGCTTAAAAAGGAAAAGTTGGCAAACTTTATTCCAGTTCATTGGATTTTAGCAAACAGGACTATTAAAAGAAGGATGAAATTGAAAAGCTCTAAGCAAAAGCCAAGCACTCAGAGTTAGTCAAGGATAACTATCAGGAGCTAAGCCTAGTTTATTATTTTAGAGAAGCAAAATGTCTGTTTCGTTGTCTACTTCTTTTTGTTTTATACAGATTTTGACAATAAATAACTTTCCTCTTCTTCTCAAAAATAGTGTTTTATTGCCTACTGGCTTCCTGAATCCAAGCTCTTTTACAGATGATTGATATGCATTTAATGTTTTTATTGGGGGTAGGGGGCAGGTTGGGTTCAGTGAACCCTATCAAAGAGGTGTAACAATTTTTAGAATGTGTCTCCAGATTGATGACTTCATGACTGTGGTTTCAACAAATCAAATAACTTTTTAGAATATAGAGAAAAGGATAATAAGTTCAAATTCATTGAGTGTAGGATCCTACAGCAGTCTCTGGGTGGTGCAAATGATTAGTGGACTCAGCAGCTAACTGAAAAGTTAGAAGTTCAAATCCACCCTGAGGCACTTCAGAAGCAAGGTTGGGTCTACTTTTGAAAACACCATAGAGCACAGTTCTTCTCGGACACACACAAGACCACCAGACAGCAATGGGCAGTGTTATCCTATGATTTGATATGGCTGCTTTGGACACAGTTCTACCTCTCGCCATTTCAGACTGCCCAGACAGCAGCAGAGGAAGACCCAAATGAAGAGAGGCATTAACAAACTATGAAACATGGATAAAGCATTCATTGTTATTCAGTAAAGCAGTAGTTAAATGTGTCTTTTAAAAAATTATTCAGCAACAAAATAATTAAACAGTATCTATCTAGTTCTAGCAGACATTTGGAATAATAAATATTAGATGAGAATTCTTTTTGTGGAGGAAATATTTCAATGTGAATATAAAATTTTTATACAACATTTTAACAGCAATAATGTGCAACCTGATAAAACTATCTTTCAAAATTTAGCAACATGTTCTATAATATTAAGAGATTTGAGATTAAGAAATTAATTGTTAAATAAATTTAAATATAATACAGTAATATTGACTATTAATTAGAAAGTGACATCTTTTTAAAATCACTTTATTAGGGGCTCATAAAACTCTTATCACAAACCATACATATATCAATTGTGTCAAGCACACTCATATACATGTTGCCATTATTATTCTCAAAACACACACTCTCTACTTGAGTCCTTGGTATCAGCTCCTCATTTTTTTCTCCTCCCTCCCCAAAACCCCTCCACCCTGAATCCTTAATAATTTATAAATTATTATTATTTTGTCATATCTTACACCATCCGACATCTCCCCTCACCCACTTCTCCACTGTCTGTCCCCCAGGGAGGAGGTTACATGTAGACCTTTTAATCTGTTCTCCCTTTCTCCCTCACCTTTACTAGCTGATAGTTCCATGGAGATTGGAGACAGATCAACATTTTGCTTTTAATGTAATCATTTGGTTTTTAACTAATTGAGAAGTGCTTACTAAATACTAGTCACTGACAGATGAAGAGAGTGATAAATAGAAATGAGTACCTAACTCTAAAAAGGAGTATATTGGTAAAACTCACATACACAGGCAGTATAAACAAAGAAATCATCTGATTCCCTGCTATGCAGAAAGAGTAAAAGAAGACTTTATTGAGAAGGAGGCCTTTGAAGCTTTAGAAATCAGAGGTTGAATATTTTATAAGATGGAGGAGGGCCTCTGCTCATACCCTCCCTCATTACAAGAACACGTTGTTCTAACAAATTGGCAGTCTGAGATGTTCACCCTCCCGACACAATTGCCAAAGACAAAATGAATGCACAAGCAAATGTGGTGAAGGAGGCGGATGGTGCCCAGCTATTAAAAGATATAGCGTCTGGGGTCTTAAAGGCTTGAAGTTACACAAGCCACCATTCATCAGTGAAGCAACAAGTCAACATGGAAAAAGCACACCACCGGTGCGATCATGAGGAGTCATAGGGACCCGGTAATAGACATCAGCAGACACATAACAAACAAAAACATATTTTGGGGAATGAGGGAGGCTGGAGCAGAGAACGAAAGCCCATCTGTAGACAATGGAGCAATCTCCCCACAGAGAGCCCACAGGGAGGGATAAAGCATCAATGAAACACACTATATTCCTCTGGTTACTTGAGGCTTCCTCACCCCCCACTACCATGACCCCATGCTGCTTCTCAATTCAGACTAGACTAGAACATGTACACAGGTATAGAAAGGGATGGGGGCTCACAACACACAGATTCCAGGAACAGGAGTGGGAATAGTGATACCAGAAGGGTAGGGGGAAGTGGGGGAGAGGAAGGGAGAAAGGGGGAACCAATCACAATGATTGACACATAATCATACAGCCCTCTCCACGGGGAAGAATGACAGAAAACATGGGGGGAGGGTGACAACGGTCGGTGTGAGATATGAAAATAATAACAATGTACAACTTTCAAGGGGGTATGAGGGTGGGGGGAGGGAGAAGGGGAAAAAAGAGGAGCTGATACCAAGGGCTCAATAGAAAGTAAATGTCTAAAAAAGAATGAAGGCAACATATGTACAAATTCACCTGATAGAAGCGATGTATGGATTGTGACAAGAGTGGTAAGAGTCACAACAACAAAAAAGATGGAGGAGGATGTAGGTATCCTCTACAGAGGCTGAGAAATGTTGTACGGGCCACAAGACAGAGGTCAAACATGCTTCCACTGTCCAACTTTCTTTATCTCCTTTGCACACTGACTGTTCCTTCGGTCCATAATCTGTTGCATTGACTACACAGAATTCACAGACAATACTCAAGATTATGGATGCTGATTAAGAAAGTTAAGTAGTTACCAAAAGTCTGGCTCAGAACACAATGTTCAAGTTTTGTCCACAGCAACACCTCTTCTCAGACAGCAGCCACCTGTCTCACTGGACCTAAGCCTCTCAACCACTTGGTTCCCTGGGCTCTGGCTTGTTGTGGAACAGGAAATCTTCCCCCAGTCTATCGCACAAGGTCCATGCTGCTCCTCCTCTGTTGTGGCTTCTAGCGCCTTCCCCACTTCAGACAGGGATCAAACGCATGCTCTTCTTTCTTGGTGGTATGGAATTGTCTCTCTCTGAGATGGCTCACTAACAAACCAATGGAATGCAAAATTGACCCATTATTAGTGTTTTATGCGCTTTATTTCCGTGGTTACACGCATTCAGTGGGTAGGAGTCATGAAGACAGGGATAGAAGAGTTATTGACTTCACAACAGAGCTTTGTTAATATGAAAAGAAGTTAGAGTCAGATTTATTGGTGTTGGTTATTGGTTATTGGTGTTGGTGTTATTGATGTTGCTGACAGGTGCCTTCAAGTCAACTCTGACTCATAGCAATCCCATATACAAAAGAACAAAACACTGCCCAGTCCTGGGCCATCCTTAAAATCATTTCTATGTGGAGGTCCACTGTTGCCGCCACTGTGTGCATCCATCTTGTGGGTCTCCCTCTTTTTATTGAGCATTTATGTTACCAAGCATGATGGCCTTCTCCAGAGACAGGTCCTTCCTGAGAAAGTGTTTAAATTATATAAAGTGAAGTTTAACCATGCTTACCGCTCAGGAGCATTCTGACTGTACTTCTTCCGAGACAGATCTGTTCATTATTCTGGCAGTCCTTAGTTTACTAAATACTTATTGCCAGCACCATAATTCAAAACTTCAATTCTGCATCTTCCTTGTTCATCTAACGATCTCACACACATATGAGGCAAGTAATAATGCGATGACTTGTGCCAGGCACACCTTAATTTTTAAAATGACAATATTGCTCTAGGCAGAGTTATGTAGGGAGAGTATAAATAATGACCTACAGTAATTGTTGTTTGTGATGAAGTTAAAGGCCTTGAAGTTCCTTCAATCAACATTTCTTGTGCATCTACCACATACATGGCTTACTCTAAACTTTCCTTTTCGCTGGTTTAGATAACTAAGACATTCACTTAAAAATGTTAACATTTGTTACAATTAGTTTTAGCAAGCAAATTGAAGTCTCAACTAGGTGAAAACAGTGTTGACACTTTTCTTCATTCCATTTTATAGTCATTCTGAGACAGGATCTAATACTTCATCTGAAGATGGAAAAATAGAGGTTCATATGAGTTAAGTAACCTTTAAAGATCCCACACATTTAGTTGACACTAGACACCATTTGTTATCAGTTTATCAAGCTGGATGTGATGGATAGAGCTAAAAATGATAGAAAATTATGGAAGTGAAATTGTCTTCTGATTGTGTAAAATTCTGTTTCATAGGAAAGACTAAAGAATCTCGTGTTCTCAAAATTTTGGAAGAGAGTAAGCTCATGGTGGATAATGCCATTTACAACACAATGAAAAGGTAAGGCATATAAGATGTACAAATGGAAAAGAATTGAGATTTTATTTTGTCATTGCATCCCAAATTGTCTTGAGAGTATTACTGTACATTATAAATTTCATTTTCATAATTACCTCCAAAATTGGATCTATCTTCTCCATTTTACATATCAGGAACTGAAACTCAGATTGGTTCATTCATTTTTTCAAAATCACATGCTCACAATCGACAACTAATATTTAAATGCCGTGTTCTTTCTTTAGCAAAACATAGCATGAAACAGAATGCTAAAATCAATTATTCAATATATTCTGATTTAAAGGTTACATGTCTTGAGTTTCTGATAAAGTAATAGTTGCTCACCTCTGACTGGCTTGACAATGTTTTACAATGGCCATCAATTTGTCACAGATAATGCTACAGCTGCAGGCTTATTAAAAGTAACAAGTTATCAACCCAGTGCGCCAAGGTGTGAAGACAACATGCTGACGCGGAGTAGGGAATCAGTGGAGAGGTCTAGGGGGCTGGTCCCAGCCCCAAATACTAAGTGGATGCCTGCCCCTCCCCCGAGAAGAATTTAT